TTAACATCAACAGTATATCACTGTGTCACATGACACACGCAGGTAGACCTGATTGATATATTTTAGTAATTACTGTCTTGTTGTTCCGTCCTCTCTGTTTTCGTTTTAATCTCTCTAGTTGTAGATAATTATCATTAATTCGATCTGGCACACGAATTGACCATAATTACACCGTTCATAAATCAACAGGCTGTCGATTTAAGAAGAATTAAAAATTCCCGATTGATCTATTGGATCGCTGTAATACATGTACTACTTGAACAATTACTGAACTAGTATACTTAAAACTTTCTTCTATCACATGTTTGTTCTGTACATCTAATGTTACTATTTATATCAAATTGATCATGCCTGTAAACTGGAGTGAATTCTGTAATTATTATTTTCAGAATATAAATTATATATATATCAACTGATGAACTAGTAAAACTTCATGAGTTGAGATGGTTGGGATATATGTTACGTATACCTGTTGTGACTTTAAGTCCGACTAGTTATCACGTAAATTATTCGCTGATCAAAATACGATTTATTCAATATTCAGTCTATGCTGAACCAATGACTTTCGACCGGTATAAGCAGCTTAGCGACTTTATTGGTCCCTTGCTCGCCTATATTGTCCAATTGAGTCCAGAACACTAATAACAGCTTCCACTATGCGAATCATTTATTTCAGACATACTGCGTTTATATATCAACCAAAAGGATCGCAACGCACCATAAAATACGAAATAACATTTATACACTGTGAAGCCAAAAAGTGACTGTGAACGTGGGAGACTGTAATCAATAAATTGAACATAACTTTAGAACAGTCAATCGTACAATAGTAATCTGTAAGTCAAAATGAAGCTTATAATGGGGGGGAATATAGATATACTTAATCTTATTACTGAATAGTTATACCATAAGAATATATAGATAATATTAGTCCATTAATAGGTTTCAGAATTTACTCGTGATTTAATCTTCGCTAAGATATAACAATACCCAACTACCGAATGCTCCGATGTGCAATGTATTATGGCATAGGCGAGATATTCGTCTACCAACCAAAGGACGGGTTTACTGTGCAGCAGTTTGTTCCGTTTTACTTTATGACTATGAAACATGGCCGGTAAGAGTAGAGGATAGTTGTAGGTTACTAGTATTTGATCATAGATGTCTTCGAAGCATTGATCGTACATCGTGGGACCATCGAATAAGTAACGCAGCTGTTAGGAAACGGGTATTAGGTAAGGGTGGCAAATCAAGTGATGAAGTAGTGAAACTTCATCAGTTGAGATAGCTGGGACATGTGTTACGTATGCCCAACCACCGACTACCTCAACGAGCGATGTTTTATGGTTTTGGAGTAGGCTGGAAGACATCTAACGACAACCAGACCAAAACATGACACAAATACACGAAGACACTGACAAGTGAACTAAGCCATGTTGGCAAGTGTAGACTATAGCAATCGATGGTTTGGAACTTTGAATGACATGGCTCAAAATCGTTTGTAATGGAGCAGATACATCTAGTTTTTGTGTTCTCCCGAATTATAATCTTATGGATTCTTCATGTACATTTTTTTCTCTTTCTAGATTTATTTCCCTGGTTTATACTCATTGAATAACATACTCAAAGCCCAATCTTTCCGATTACCTCTTATACTTTTACTACATCTATCATTATGGGATTTTGATTGACGATTATATCTCTGTGCAAATGTGATATAGCAACTCAAACAGATGTACATACATACGAAGTTTTACGTTATTGTTGACTGACTGACTGACTGTCTGAGTATAGAACACCCCAATGGTATGTATCTATAACTACACCAGTGGATGAACCTAGAATCGCAAGTCTTGAATGAGAGCACTTAACCTGTAAACTACTGAGCTGAAATCTAAAAAGTGTACACGCATAAAACCAATCAATTTGTGATATCCCACAACCATCTTCGAATGCCTTTGTTAAACAAATGATATATATACATATCAGATGGGTTTTGTGGATATTATAGTAATTTCAATGATTAACATCATGAGTCAGTTGAAGCTAGACCACCATGGAAAACCTGGAAGCACTGGACGGCAGTTTCGTCCTATTATGGGACTCATCATCAGTGCGCATCCACGACCTCGCCTCCTGCGAGATCCGAATACAGGACCTACTGGTTTCGCTCGCGAGCACTTAACCACTAGACCACTGAGTCGGCATCCAACAGTGTTAATGTCTATATATATAGTAAGATGGCGGAGAATATTTTCAGTTAAGGTGGATGATTTTGATGAAGTTCATCGTTCACAAGAACGATCAAACTATCCAATTCAATGAACAAAACTCCATCCATATTTATATAGTTTGACCTATTTTATTAAAATAAACTCACTAATCATTAGTTCAATTAAAAAATAAATTGTTCTATCTCATTAAAATTAAATTTAATAATGGATAATGAATGATAGTTGATCAATATAAGTTTAGACATTTTTTGTTTAAAATAATAACCAAAGTATAATATTACTGAATTTCATTCAATAAATTTTAGATGATATCGAAGTGAGTTTTCTTTGAAAACAGAATCAGGTCAATCAAATATATCATTCCATCATTTAAAACATGATGATGATGATGATGATTTAAATGAGACCAGTTCATAATATATATATGATATTGATGCCAATATTTGAATAGAGATTAATGAATATCATGTATGATCATTATGGAGTATAGAAATGAGAACTAATCAAACAAATGTGTTAGGTTCCGATAAACATAATGAATGGTAACTTTGGGATCCTTTTATGGACCATTACTATGTGTATATTTTTACCGTTTAATTGTTAAATAACTAAACTATTTATATTCATGTCCGTCTTATTATGAGTTTTATTTTGATCTATGAACTATTATTATACGATTTATCATTCTTGAGTTATGCCCGGTTTATCAATTACTGTCTCCCTTATTCACAGACACATTTAGCTAAATCTTGCGCAATTGTGATTACATCTCAGTTCTACAGAAGGTCAGTCGCGGCCCGGATAGCTCAGTGGTAAAGTCTCTGACTGTGAAGCTGAGTGACACGAGATCGAATCCGCCAGGGAGCACCAGTTTCTTCAAGATTACAGGTACACCTTGCTGACGAGTGCCAGGTTGCACGAAACTCGGGTCCAGAGTTTCCTGTCGATTACCTCCAATCACCATCTAATCTCAATATATAGTGCCCGTAATGTCGAGTCACCTAGACTAGTGGCCACATTGCAACATGATCGATAGCATTCGATCTGCACTAAATAAGGACTTGACACACATGTCATTGATCACCAGCAAGTGATCAATCAAATGTGATTACAAATATTGCTTGTTTGATTGGTATATAAACTTAGTATGTCTGAAATATAATGATGCATATTGCAGAGGCTGAGACTGGTGTTTTGTACTTAACTGGCTGGACCAGGCGGAAAGCAGGACCAATCAGGGCTCTAGGCTGCTCGCACGTGTTTCAAGCGTCCTTGATCTGATCGATCATTCGTTGCTTCTGATTGACAGCGTTGGGCTATAACATAAGGAATAATTATTGTTGTAGTAATCTGAATGAGAAACTTCTAATGTGTCGTCAAAAAACAGTAAAGTATCACTTTTCTCGAATTGTTACTGATTAGTGTGAATGAATAGTGAAAATTGAATAATTAACCAACATGAAATTAAATCATATTGATTAGAATGAATATTAGAACTACATAGACAATGAATTCACTTGGTATTGTTTGGTTTGTATCTTCCCATTGAGGTTTAAGACTACAATTGATCAGTCTGTTATTGGCATATGTACATACTGTGCGTATGCTTTGATATTGCCTTAATTCAGAAGCTTTTTGTAAGCAATGATGGATAGTGGCTAACAGTGGAATCCAGGACGCTCGTTTCTTCCTAGAGTGAACATTAACTCTGAGATGCAGGTATATCCGGCTGACGAGTCCCAAATAGGACGAAACGCGCGTCCTAAATTCCACTGCTAGCTATTATCCATCATTGTTTACATAGACAATGATTTATCAATACAAAGGAATAATGAATGATCATACTGATTATTAACTAGTGAGTAATTTGATTAAGTTTATTGAAGAACAGGTCCTGTTTACTCAATGACATTTCAAACATTTGTATACTTGGTAATAAATTTATGATTATAAATACATTTAGTTTCATTCATAAATTCAATTATGAAATGACTATAATCTCCACAAAACCCCTATCTGATTATAATTATCATATACTCACTAGTGACTGTCTCCAAGAGGTATTTCCTGGAGTTCTAGTGAGAAGCAGTGACCAGTGGAGTTCAGCCGGGTCTGTTGTGAGATAGTAACTCACTCATGAGAATGGTGGATGTGTCGTTCAATTCGGTGGATTACTTGAAGTTAAACATTAACACCGTTGGATGCCGGTCAGCCTAGTGGTCTAGTGGTTAACGTTAGTGTGCGAGACTGATATGTCCTGTGTTGGAATCTCATGAGTCGGGGTCGTGAATTCGCACTGCTGAGGTGTTTCACAATAGGACGAGACGGCCGTTCAGTGCTTCTGGGTTTTCCATGATGATCTAGCTTCAATTGATTCATGATCTCAACTAATGAAATTAGTAATAATATACGCAAATACCCCTTCTGAAATAAATATTCGATTAATCGAGTTCATAATTAAACATTTTATTCAACAACATCAAAAGCATACAATGGTTTATTGAGAACATATGTCATTTGAATATGCATTCGTTGTGTAGAAATGGTTTGTAAGCGTCTTAGGAATAAGTTATTAAAATTACGTTTACAAAATGATGGACATTCAAATACATGTTAATGGTTTACTGTATTAATAATTTTATGTTATGATTTTTAAAGCTTAGATGAAATACAGTGTAAGTATGTATTAAATACTGGGACAAGGAGGATTATCAATTCAATCACCTACCCAAGGGAAATTGATTGTATCTTACTGGTAATTGATATTTAGTTACGACAAGTAATTAGTGGTTTGAATAGGATTGTTTTAAATTTCTCAATGTGAATACAATATATAATAATGTTTAAAGATGATTGAAGAAAAATTAAAGTCCATCCTACATTTAAAAAGACTAAAAGGAAATAAAGTAATCCTACTGGAATTTTATAATTTAAACGATCAACAGAGATTGTAAGAAGAAAAGATATTCCACATGGTAATGCACATAAAAATGCAAAAATATGAAGGATAAGCATTGTGACAGTACGTGTATTATGAATCACCTTTGATGTTTGTGTATCCGTTGGTTGAGGACGACCACGTGACCAACGTATCACTTTCATCAAGAAAAATGTATCAATCATAATGACAATTAAAAATTGTGTTAAACATGTGTATGAAAATAAAGCTTGATAAATGATTAAGAAATCAATATTGTGCTTGTGCCAACATAGTTTACGATTAGTGATGAGAATCAAATCACTATTTATGGAAATGGGTAATGACATTAGAATAGTTATAATGAAGATTGTGCTGATTATTATCCAGACAATATATTTGGAATGTTTCTTAAAGATTAATGGTTTATGAATTAATAACAAACGATCAATAGCCATTATTAGAAAGATATTTCCACGAAAAATACATGTCACCGATTGAAAGAACATGTACAATTTACAATTAGTTGTTGATATTAATGAAATGAAATAATAAACATTTCCTGATGTTGCAAATGGTAAACCAAATGTAGGAAACCAATATAACCATCCAATAATAATAACTAATGAAATATCTGATAGAGCAAGAACACCTAAATATACAAATTGTCTATTATGTTGCATTAGATAATATAGAAATATTATAGCAACAATACAATTAGAAATCAAATTGAAGACTCCAATCAATGGGAATACATAAGCCATAAAACTTCCAAGAAATATTGAAATATTACATAATATTTTACTGGCATTTGGATGTCCTTGTTCTAACATCCTACAATCAATCAAATTGTTTACTGATGTGTAAAATGTCGTCCAGTTATGATTCTCATTCATGTTGACAATTTGCCTATAAATTCAATCCTTGTAATTTAGATTATTTGAGGGATTTAATTTAAACATAAAATTGCAAACATTTTTTTTCGTCAAATGTAATCATAATCTCTAATAGTTAATAATGAAAACGCCCAAGCACTTTTTCCCAAATGAAACTTTGTTAACTTCCATGAAAAACTCCAGGTTCTAATCAAATCCAAAAATTTGTGGATTGGTTGATGTTAGAAACTATCACTATTGGATGCCGGTTCAGTGGTCCAGTTGGTTAAGCGTTCGCGCGCGAGACCGAAGGCCCTGGTTTCGAATCCCGCTCGCGGGATCGTGGATGCGCACTGCTGAGGAGTCCCACAATAGGACGGAACGGCCGTCCAGTGCTTTCAGGTTTTCAATTGTGATGGTCCAACATCAATTGGTTCAAGATCTCAATCAAATAATTTGTCATGAATTTTATTGGTATTTAGTAAGACTAACCTCATTTTCATTACAACAGTTGTAGAAATGTGAATATTCACGAGTAGTTAATCACTGTGCCAGTGATTGTTTTTTGTTTCATTTGTATTGGTTGGTGTTTTTGGATTGCACTTTATTGATCTTTTTTTGGTATATGTTTATCTTTTGCGGATTGCCGTGATATTTCCTTTAAGTCACAAGCATTATTAACAGAGAGAGATGGTGACTAACACTTAATAATGAAGACGCGTGTTTCATCGTATTCGAAACTCATCAGCTGGATGCCCCATCGAATGGAACTGGGTTTCTTGGCTCGAAGGGATTATAAGCTCTTGTATGCAGGTAAATCTATCTGATGGGTCCTAAATAGAAAAAAGTGGGAGTTCTGAATTCCACTTGTTGTCACTATCCATCTTTGCTTATAATTCAATTCGTTTATTCGAATTACTTATTTGATATGATTACTGTAATTTTGTGTGGCTTTCATATTTTTGAAGAGAATATTACCGATGAGTAGTTAGTATTAGAGCCGTCCTGGTGTATATTGTAAGTAATTAAGTTACTTAGTTCTATACTTTTGCACTTATTAAGTTTCACACTTATTAATATGAATTAATAATGGCTGAAACTGTGACGTAGGTTGTTGTAATCTATCAGTGTTTGTTAGTAATTCATCTAAATCAGGCAATACTTCGATCAACATAATTCGAATATATGATGGTACATTACTTACATGCTTTCTTACGCCTGTTACTCCCAATGGAGCATTCTCCAACTCACTCTGTCCTCGACCTTCCTTTCCAATTCTATCCAATTTTTGTTCATTCTCCTCTTGTCTGTCTCCATTTCATGGCGTAATATGTTCTTTGGTCTTCCTCCCCTCCTGTGACCTTGAGCATTTCAAATGAGGGCTTACCTTGTGACGCATTTCGGTGATTTCCTCAATGTGAGTCCTATCCATTTCCAGCACTTCTTCCTCATTTCTTCCTCCACTGGAATCTGAATTGTTCTCTCCCACAGTAGGTTGTCAGTGTTTAAGAGTGTCTAGCCAACGTATCCAAAGTATTTTACATAGAAAATTGTTAATAAACACTCGTAGCTTCTGTATGATGGCCTTCGTAATTCTCCAGGTTTCCGCCCCATACAGTAGAACTGTTTTGACAGTTGTATTGAAAATTCTGACCTTGGTGTTGGTTAACAGGCAATCGTTTTGAGTTCCATATGTTCTTCAGTTGTAAATATGCTGCTCTTGCTTCACGAATCCGCGCATTCACATCTGCATCAGATCCACCGTGTTCCTCAATAATACTGCTCAGATATGCAAAGTATTTTACATCATCCAAATCTTCTCCGTCAAGTGTGATCCGATTGTTGCATTTCCCTTTATGTATGTTGAGACCCACTGCTGTTGAGGCTGCTGCTACATTGGTCGTCTTCTCCTGCATTTGTTGTTGCGCGTGCGATAGGAGGGCCAGATCATTTGCGAAGTCTAGATCGTCCAACTGCATCCTAGATGTCCATTGTATCCTGTGTTTCCCTTCAGATGTTGATGTCTTCATGATCCAGTCGATCACCAGGAAAAAGAGAAAGGGTGAGAGCAAGTAACCTTGCCTGACACCGGTCTTTACCTTGAACTAGTCTGTCAGTTGTCCTCTATGCACGATTTCGCAGTTTAATCCACCATAGGAATTTCGTATGACATTGACAAACTTCTGAGGCACGCCGTAGTATCGTAGAAGCTTCCATAGTGTTGTTCTGTCCACGCTATCAGATGCTTTTTCGTAGTCAATGAAGTTGATGTAGAGTGATGAATTACATTCAATTGATTGTCCCACAATGATCCGTAGAGTTGCGATTTTGTCTGTACACGATCTATCCTTACAGAATTCGGCCTGTTGGTTTCGAAGCTGGACGTCTACGGAGTCCTTTATTCTGTTAAAGAACACCCAGTTGAAGACTTTTCCTGGGGTTGAGAGAAGAATGATGCCCCTGTAGTTAATACACTTGCTGAGATCGCCTTTCTTCACGTTGAAATTAAGAACATCTAATTCTCAGTTCATACAGTTGATCTCAGTAGGATTTAAATGTCTAAGTGATAGTACATAGAATATTATATATCAGATCCAAACCTGTTTATTCACATTTCATGTAATCTACATTATCATTACGTGTCGAAGCTTATTAACTCCTCTAGTTGCTCTTCTAGGGTTACTACCGATCCCATCTTGGATTTACTTCAAATTCTTCCGCTGAGAGTTTATAAATACATTCTTCCTTTCTAATGTTTTATCGGAGAAATCAGAACGCTTCACTTCTATTTGAAGTTTGTGCTAGTGATGTCGTTCACAAGAACAATGAAAGCTCCACGACCAAACCATCCATCTGAGCTACAAATCTTCTTCACCATCTCTTCTTTTATCTCACATGAACTCGGCACTGAAATACTGTGAAACTATTTGATCAAATTTAGATGGAAGCTCTTATTTATTATTCTGCAAAGGGGGGTTAAATCTTTTTATGGGTAAGGCTTCCATAAACCTTAGTATGCGCCCTTTGACATTTTTGTACAACACCACAAAAGCCGAGTTAAAATCAATCTTATGACCTGTTTCAATTATGTGTTTGGCAATAGAGGATGATGGATGTTTATCCCCTATTCTTATTGAGTCATTTGATTCCATTTGTTTCTGCAACCATTTAGGTACATGATCACACACCATAATTTTGAGATAACGGCTAGTTCTCCCTATATATGTGTGACCACACACACATTTAAATTGGTTAACACAGAGGGATGTGACGCAATTATTTTTTTGTCTTTTAAGTTTTCCATGAAGCATGAACCTTTTTGTTTCCTTGATAATGACCTTCGCTGCACGTTAGTTCTTTATTATTCTTGTCTCCTCTTACCCTCCAGTTCTAGTCTAGTTTACCTTTTCTTTTTATGTATAAATGTTCTTAACAAGTATATGTGTGATCAAACTGTCCGAAATGTATTGCGTCAATATATCATTACATAGTTCTGATAATCTTCATCTTATTATTGCACTACCAGGAAATAGTTATCAGAGAGGGGGTTTTGTGGATATTATAAATAATTTAATAGTTGAATTCATGAATCAGTTGAAGCTAGATCACCATGGAAAACCTGGAAGCACTGGACGACCGTTTCGTCGTGGGTCCAAATCTGGCGAGGCGGGATCATGGATGTGCACAGCTGAGGAGTTCCATACTAAGACGAAACAGCTGTCCAGTGCTTCCAGGTTTTCCATGATGATCTAGCTTCAATTGATTCATGAATTCAACTATTAAATAGTGATCAATTTTTTTCTCTAATTTATTTTGAATAATATAAATAGTCTTTCTGTTTACATAAACATTAGATGCATTTTGTTTTTATCATTTTTCTATTGTCACAACAACTAACTACTTGAAATAAACAAACCAAATAAATTAAGTTTCCTTTCTACATGATCTGCAAGAAAGTCTACCCATTCTTTGGTGCTTAGGATACTTATCTAATGTAGATTAAGACCTTGGCGCGATAAGCTGACCGACCTAACCTTGAGGCTAGTACGCGTGAATTCGAAGTGGGATAGAGAGAAGAAAACTATTCTATCACCTGATTGGCTGACAAGCACGCGAACGAGAGAAGACAGAACAACTGGAACACTACTCAATCTATTCCTGATAACCTGATTTCAGTTCAGTTCGGATTAGTGTAAAAAGGAACATGAATAAATAAGTGAATAACCCGACCACAATGTACAAGAATTAGGAAAAATACAATTATATCCAAAGCTGGGAATTAGAGTAGAAAATAGAGTGCAAAATATTATGTTTAAATTACAATAGCTTCGGAACAAAAAAGGGTATGGCAATGAATCATACACCGAACGAAAGTTTATGTTCTGTAGAATAGATTAGGGACAAAAATAAATGTCAATGTTTTACAAGTTTTGAATAAAATGGAATAACGTCCCAAAAAATAGCTTTCGTTGTTTGTTAGGGCTTCTTGTTTTCCTGTTCACAACAAAAGTTAATATCACTCTTCATCTTAATGTCTATCAACAACAAGTTGTATCATAATATGCTTTATATAACAAGCAAATCAACATTATCTATAAATATCAATGTTAAACCTTCATTATTGAGATAAATCTTAACCCATTCACACTGTATTTTATGGCCGAACTAAACAGAATTTTTGTGTGAAACTTATCTATTTACATTAGCTACAAAGTATCTTACATCATAGTTGATTTGATTTCGTCAAGATAAATTTTAACCTAAACCCTTAATTCTAAAGTTAACTACCTAATCCTTATCAAGAACAATGTGAAAACTATTAATAATCTATCTAGGTTTTGTAATTGTGAGTAATCCATATTCTTCTGAACGAATATATGTGTAGGGAAAAGAACAGGTGTGGGGACAACCGAATATATCCAACACACAATTACAGGACTTGTTAATAAAATCTAACAATCATAAAGTAAATGCTTAATTTGCAAAATGTCCATCGATTGTCTCAAAATGACTCAGACTTCATTGTTCTTGCATTTTCATACAAATTGCATTCCTCTTGTCTCTCTGCTGCCAGACCTTTTGTTCACCACTAACATCACATACTACTTATGTCAGTATAAGTAGCATATATATTTCTTCGTTTTTTTTTTCAATGTACAAACAAAATAACCTGTAGAAGACTATAGTAAATTCATTCATTACGTAGTTTGTTTATATTTTGTGATGTTATTGTTTTCTTCCACATAAACTAGTATACTTACAAAGTTGTTTTCTGATTGTTTAAGAACTTTCATAAAATTCATCTTTGTTATTTATAACCCATCTCTGTTCTATACTTTTACTGGAATTAGTTAATTTTAACAATTACTTAACTTGGTCATTCACCAATTTATAGCATGTGTTGTAATTTTATTTATAGTCGTATATCTGAAAGGCACTTCCCCTTCGTCTGCTGTTTTGTGCCGATTATTAACCAACGGGAAACATTTAGATTTAAATTTTGTATATATATTAGTATCAGAATGGGGATTTGTGGAAATTGTAGTAATTTTTTAATAGTTGAATTCATGAATCGATCTAAACTAGACTATCAGTGAAAACCTGGAAGCTCTGGACGGCTGTGTCGTCCCAGTATGGGATTCCTCAGATGTACATCTTCATTATGCCTCACACAGGATTAAAAAACCTCCAGACCATGTAACCGGCACTTCTCATTGTCTTCGGTAGGCAATCGCTTTCCAGCAGACACCGATTAGCTCTCGTGATCACGGCTTTTCACTAGAAATCCTAAATTTTCCTCTTGAATCTAGCCACTAGTGAGAACATGGTCATTTTCACTATTAGGCTTTCCAGTCCCATACTACGACGATTAACACTATAGTAAGTGGGAACTTGTTTTCTTTTACAGATTTTGAGTTTTTTTATACATTTCCGTCTTGTTAACCATATCTTCTATCGGAGTTGAGAAGGATAGAAATTTGTGTGTTCTGTCGATGGAGATCCCTCTGTTTGTGAGATGGTAGTTAGCGGTAGACAACACGAAATCGTGAGACTTAGTGTTGGGGTGATCCAGAAATCGCTTGCAAAAGACAAGCAAGCATCAAGAAACACTGAGAAGTGTTTCGTCCAATCAGCGTTCATTTGGAGTCTTGGCCAGAAATATCAAGATAGAAAAACGTCACATGCGGGAGCTCTGATTGGTTGGCTACTACAGTGCTACTATGTTTAGTAGCATTCCAGAATATTCCAGCGACCCAAGGACATTTAGATATACTATCAAAACCCTATATTTTCTCTAATAAAATGAACCTTGGAGTAAAGTGTTTTCTCTCATACTTGCATCTTCTCTCTGGTGTTCAAGTCGCTGTGTAGTTCTAGCGTGCGGGTCATCGGAATAGCTTAGGAAATAAATATAGCGTTCAATCGACAAGACTTATCACTTAATTTTCATCCTATTCGGTGCTCATTACCAAGGTGAGGTAACTGATACTCCCTGACTGATTCGATCCCGTTTCACTCAGCTTCACCGACACAGTCATTACTATTGAGCCAGTGAGGTAGTGACTGACCTCTTGTAGTACTGAGGTGTATTGCACAACTGATTGGTCACTATGTAGTGACTACTATCATGTCACTTGCTTATGTCTTAACATTGTACATGTGATTCCGAGTCATGTAGACTAATGACTACATTTCAACTTGATAAACAGGACTTGATCAACAGTAAGGAAGTATTTACATACAAGATATTAGTCATCTTTCAATGATCAATCAATTATCCAAGAAGATCTCCCAGTTTACTCAGTTCATTTTTCAGGCGATCAACAAACATAGCTGGCGTCATATAATATGGTGGATAATTTCACTCGCTAAAGACTATATGGATATTGGTAGTCAGTAGTAAGTCCTTATATACTTACTTACTCCTGTTACACCTCGTCGAGGAGCATAGATCAGTCAACAACATTCTACATCAAACTCTATGCTGGACAAGTCTTTCCAGTTGATATTCATCCTTTTCATATCTATATCTGATTCCCAAAGAAATGTATTCTGAAGTCTTCCACTTCTTGTTTTCTTTTCAAAATTCCAACTTAACGCTTTCTTCATGATGCGGTTCGATGCTTTACGCAAAATATGTGCACAGTAAGCTGTTGCTAATGGTATCCGTTCAACAGACATTAAATATCTTGAGTTTAGTTATCCTATCAATACTCAGAAATGTGCATCCACGATCGCGCCTGCGGGATCAGGATTCATAACCTATCGGTCTCGCGCTTAATCTGTAGACTTCTGAGTCAGCAACTAGCGGTGTTAATATCTAACTCCAACCTATCCACGAAATTCCACCACTGTCCACTGTTGTCTTCAGTGGGTCACTTCATCAAGACAGATACGGTTGAACTCCACTGGTCATAACTTATCATTCGAACTCTAGAAAACATCTCTTGAAGACAGTCACTAGTGGATGCATATAACTGAGTAATGCCATACTTGGACAAAATGGCCTTTCAGTGCTTCTAAGTTTTCAATGGTAATCTAGCTTTAATAGACCCATGAACTATACTATCAAATTACTACTATCTCCAGAAAAACCCCCTCCTGATTATAATTTATAACTGATTGAGCTATCGATTAAAGGGTTTTTTCTCGTTAAAACCTCCAACATTTTTATATGCACAGTCAGATTCTGTTTAAAACACGATTGTGTAATGGTTAAGAAATAGCAGACAAGTTGGTCTCGGAAATCTCAAAGTTTTATGTATTGATAGGATAACTAAACTCAAGATATTTAACGTCCGTTGGATCGATACCATTGACAACAGCTTACTGTGTAGATAATTTGCATAAAGCATCAAACCGTATCATGAAGCAAGCATTAAGTTGGAATCGTGAAATGAAAACAAAAAGTGGAAAACTTCAGAATTCGTTTCTTTAGGAATCGGAAATAGACATGAAAAGGATGAATATCAAATGGAACCAACTGGAAAGAATTGTCCAGCATATAGTTTGATGTGAGAATATTGTTGACTGATCTATGCTTCTCAACAAGATACAATAGAAGTTTAACTATTAAATTCTAAATAATTATTTCAATAAAACAAAATTATCATCCTCCTATGTATATTCATTAAACAAAATGAATGTTATCAATTTTATTTAAAAATCTATTGTTCATTATAATTTGTCCTTATTACAAATTTCGTGTACTAATCGAAAGTTCACTGGAACTTATCAGATTGTATATTACGTTAATTAATTCGTTCGTTCGTTTGTTCGTTTGTTCGTTAGTTAGTTAGTTACTATTTCAATTGTTAAAACATTGAAATAACCTCATTATTCCAATCAACAAAAAAATCCTCTAATTTTTGTTGTTATTGTTGTTGTCTGTAATACAAAAAAAAACTTTGTGTTTTGTATCATAATGAAAGTATATTTTTTTTATTACTTATTTAATAATAAGTAAGATGATTATAACCTTGGTGATTAGTTCATTTTATATGGTTATTTGTTTTAATTATCTGATAGAATACAATTATATGTAACAATATAATAAGATAATATACAAGTATATGAGTAAATGTATTTTATGTTACTGAGCAAATTTACTTAAATAACTATGATATTATATATCTATATATAAATGACATACAATAACTATGGTAACTTTTAACTTTTCTTAAACAAGTAAACTCTTCTATTTATATATATATATATATATATATATGTAAACCGAAAAGGAAAAGTCTATAGACAAAGAATAATGTTTAACATGGATCTTTATACAAATTGGACAGAATTTACATCACCATGGGATTTATTAATTGATTGTATATTATTAAATGAACAATATACAAATGCTAGTAATACATTATGTATTGTATCAACAATATTTGGTATATTAATGGGTTATATATTTCCATTTATTGGTTTATTTAATATTATAAGTAATTGTATAATTATTATTATATTTTTTAATTTAATGATTCATTATAATAAACAATTTTTATTATTAGCTATATTATCTATAACTGATATTGGAATTATTTTATTTGTTGGTTGGTTAAGATTATTTCCAACATTTGGTTTACCATATATCACGTCAGGAACAATTTATTATTTTATATTAACTAGATCTACTATAAGTTGTAAATTATTTACATTTTTTCAAGGATTTTTTTGTACATTAAGAGGGAATTTATTTATTTTATTAGCTATTGATCGTTTTTTATTAATTTATAAACCATTAATTTATAATAAATTTTCTAATCAATTAAATTGGTTATTCATATTGATTATTATGATGATAACAATAATTATAATATTACCATTAACAATATTAGCTGATTTGATTGAAATACGTCAATTAAATGTATGTTGGTTTTTAGATAATACAAATTATTTATTAATCCATCAAGCATTATTATCAAATACATGTCCATTACAATTAACATTAGTAACATTAGTTGATTTATTATTTTTAATTAAAGTTATTAAATGGACACGGAATTTACAACGAGTAAGTCATTCAACATCATCATCATCGACATTAACATCAACAACAACAACACCAGCAACTAATAAAATCAATATTTCATTAATTGTTACTATGCTTATATTACAAATTGTAGCTTTCTTATTTTCATTACCTAATAGTATTGTTTATTTAATATCATTAACTATTGATTTTCAATTGATTAGTTCAGATATAGTACGTTTATTAGTAATAACAAGTAATATGTCATGGAATTTAATATTTTTTCAATCATCATTTAATATATTTATTTATTATTATCGTATACGTAAATTTAAACAATTATTAAAACAATGGATTTTATATTGTCAATGTTATCGTCATAAATCAATTCAACAAACTACTTCAATAACGAATCGTTAATAAAGAAGGAAAAAAAAAGAAGAAAAACGGAAAAAAAAGTTTTTTTTTGGTTTTTTTTTCTTTAGTTTCTAAGATCAAATTTATTGAATTTATGTTGTCAAGTAGAAATTGGATCAGAAATGATAAAAAAAAGAAACAATGACAATATTGATCTAGAAGGAATTAATATTAGATAGAATTGTAGAATTTTTCTTTCTTATTTATTTATTTATTTATTTCATAATAATAAATTGTTGTTAACTATAAGTAGTATGTTAAATGATTATTGAAAATAATTGAATGGAATTGAACATTGATTAGTGTATGATCGTATATGATAATGAATTATGTAATCATTTTTTATGTTTAGAGAAGTGATTGTAATCTGGATTTAGTTTTGTCAATCTTTCTTTTCTTTTTCTTTTTCTTTAAATATAGACTTACTACTAGAATATTGTTGGGTTTATTTATTTCTCAATAATGGTTATAATAATAATAATGGTGAAAATGACGCTATTTAGAATTATAAGACTGGTAAGAGAGTAGTATTTCAGATGGTGGAGAAGAGTTGTAGATCCGGTGGATAATTTTGGTGGAGTTTTGTTCTCTGAGCTGGATGGTTTGGTCGTGAAGCTTTCATCACTCTTCTGAACGACATCATCAGCACAAACTTCAGATAGAAGTGAAGTGTTCGAATTTCTCCATATGCGTTTCATAGCTTGTTCTGTGCACCTCGACGTTGATTGGTTCTTATTGGATGTGCACATTAAAATCAATCCAATCTATCAACCAATCAGGAAAATTATGCACAAATATAGCAATAGAAATCAAACCAATGGGAGACACAACCAAAACAAAGAAGTAAACAATGACAAATTTAAAGTCAACAAGAAGCAATCAACGTCGAGGTGTACAGAACAAGCTATGAAACGCATATGTAAAAATTTGAGCACTTCACTTCTATCTGAAGTTTTTGCTGATGATGTCGTTCAGAAGAGTGATGAAACCTTCACGACCAAACCATCCAGCTCAGAGAAAAAGACTCCATCAAAAAGAGAGTAGTATTTAAACGTAAAAGTGAAAACAAATACGCTATCAATTTCTTTGTTATTTTCACCTTTTTGTTTACAAGATATATATGCTAAATCCCGATGAGAATAATGAATAATAACCATCGGAATCTATTTTTGGACTAATATTATGCGTATATTTTTATCGTATAATTGTTAGATAACTAAACTATTCATACTCGTGTTCCTCTTATTATGAGCTTTATTTTGATCGATGAACTATAATTATACGATTTACCATTCTTGAGTTATTCCCTGTCTATTAATTGCAGTCTCCCACATTCACAGCCAATTTCGGCTAGATTTAATACAAATGTCAATCTCTATTGTATGATACGATGTGGTTTGTTTGGTTTGTATGTAAACCCAGAGTCTGAGACTGGCGTTCTGGACTTAACAAGCTGGGCTAGGCAGGAAGAAGAACGGATAAGGACTATAGAATCCTCGGAAGAGTTTATGCGTCATTGGTCCGGTCGGTAAGTCACTGTTCTCTAATTGGCGGTATCATTGTGATGTACATTATAAGGACACAGGGAACAAGTTATAATATTACATATATCAAAAATGGGGGTTTGCGGATATTGTAGCAATTTAATAGTTGAATGCATGAGCTGATTAAAGCTAGACCACTATGGAAAATCTGGGATCACTTGAATTTCAAGAACTATTGTAATCATCATCAAAAATCCATAGGTATTTGTAAATAGTCATCTAGGAATTATACAACAAAACTGACATCAGTGTAACGAATAACTCTTGATAAAAATTCTAAAGCAGAACCCAGAACAGAGTAATTTGTAAATCCTGTTCGGTGACCTATACACCCCTAGGGGTAACAGTTGTAAACAAATAAGTAACACTATTGTTGTGCACACATATTGTTTACAGTATCATTCTTTTTTCATTATCTATTCCATTCGGTTAAGTTAAATAAACTATGAATTTGTTGTTCCCTTAAAAGAAATGGTTTGTTATCGAATCGTCTCTTTCGAAATTCCTTGTTCTTTCCTAAATGCGATAATCTGTAGGTGCTGCAATTATCATAATTGCTTAGTTTGATAATAATTAAAAAACGCCTTGGGTATTGTACAACGCCTAATTGAATCCAGTTGAATGACAACTGATGAATGGAGTTCAAAACCTTATTACTTCGTATGCATACACTAACAATCATGTTACTGATAACGGAATAAAATGTTTCACATACGGAAACTATTTAGAATACGTGAATTTCATGCATTCTGGTACCAATCACAAGACAGAAAACAAAAAATGAAGTTGTAGTAGCTGTGCTTCGTTAACCAATCACCCTCGTAACCTTTATCATATAATCCTCAACGGTGTTTGAAATCAGAAGGCAAAGCGAAGCAACGACTACAGTTTTATTAGCAGATAATTCAGATCAAAAAGCAGAGAGGCGAATGAGTGAGTTTGCGAGTCGAGTGTGTATAGGATTAAGTGTACATGTATATATATAGGGAAATGAATGGGTCATCGAATCAATCAGCTAATGATAAAGCTAGCAGAATGAATATATGCGAAGGTAGTAAGAAATGATCAAGCATACATATTCATACAAGTGCAATAATAATAAAGGTACAATGATATAAATACGTTGTTATTGTACGAATGACTTTATCCGTTAAATAAGTTAACAAAAGGACTTAACTGAATTAAATGTGAACAAACGTAATTGCATGTGAGTTGCTATAAAGTAAATAGATAAGGTGTTGCTGTTGATGCACACTGACTGTAACACAAATAATACGTTGAAAATCCCTGCAGAGTATTTTACTGTACAGTAGTGTGATTTCTCCGTTATTTCGTCCCGTCTTTTATTTTAACTATTACTTAGGTCCTTTGTAACCACGCCCTAGCTTCTTCAGTCGTCTTTGCCTTGACCTTTGCCGTTTGACTTTCGTTAAGTTTTACCTTTATTATTTTGTTTTGTTTTATGGTGTCGTGCTCGACCAAACTCAAGATTAAGGTATAGAGTTGCACATCCTCTTTAACCCACGAATACCTGTTGGAAACAGTTATTTGAACCATTGCAGACAAATATTTGATCCAACATTATTGAGAATACTCTTACTGACTTTCGAGTACCAAACGCTCGTTTCTCAATCATTCCTTTTGCTGCTTAGCACGTTACTTTGCATCAAGGCAACATTTGACTATATAGCATTATCTCTACCATTTGGGGCATTCCTAACTTCAGATATAATTTTCATTTTTCCTAGATTAAAATCGATTAAACTGAGCACACAGTTTATGTTTTGACATAATTTAATACGATTTGCTCAAAAACGCTTTGTATGCTACACCTAAAAATGTAGTATGCCCTAATCGAATAAATCTTGGTTTGCTAGCTTTGTGTTCACACCAAATATTGGCGCATTTCAGTGGATATAAATGGTTTTAAATAAACAATTTTTAGCTCCTGTAGGTTACTACACCGAATCTTTGGGTCAGTAAAATGTCAGTGGGTCTTAGCTAAATCATTCAGCAGTCAGATCACTGAATATCAATTGTAGAAGCAATTTCATCGTGTCAGTTATACTTTCGATTTATAGTACACAATCCTTACTTTTCACTGAACGAACCGTCAAATCTCAACCTTCTGATCAATAATGTCGTACGAAAAAATCACGATCTCCTTTTTTCACGGTTATACCTCTGCACTTTCAGTTCATCTGCTAAATGTAGATATAACTAGAACTTGACAGTGACGAACAGAAAACTGTCAACGACACTGTCTGACTTTCTAATCCAAGTCGATGACAGTACAACTATAGACATCAACAAATAATACACTGGTCGTACTACAATTGTGGTATCATCACACTTGCTGCAAACTAAACGTCACTTATCTAAGTAACCCAATCGCTCAACTTTATCTATTTCAACACAAGTTAACAGAACTTTAAAAAGTTATATTGTTCATCAATATGTCATTCTAAATTGCTTTGCATTTAATCAACTTGTAAATCATACGTCTAAGCAGATGGACAACATTCCTAGATTCATTATTATTTTCTGCTTTCTGACCACCTGTTTACGCCTCCTTTCCATTTGTCTTTTAGCTAAGTAGTAATTACAGAATTCTTAAAGATCATTTGGTAGTCTCCGGTGCCCGAGTTGCCCTAACGTGTTAGGTACCAATTAAAGCATCCGTTGAATATGGTGAAGTAAAATACCACTGGGTCCTAGTTAAGTCGTCCTGCAGTTGGGTCACTGAATACCGAACTGTTTACAGATCTTCGTCAAGGTTAAGGACAGCCAACAAGCATCAGTCAATTGCATGCCATGTGGCAGTGACCACGCTCTGTTTCTCACACCTATTCTTACTAATAAATTTCTGTTAGGATGTCATTTGCACTGTATGGTCATCAAAGTAACTATCGCATCTGGACACAATGAAAGAGTAATCGACGTAACGTACCAACCATGGGGTGACTTCCATGTAGGGTAGGACGTCACGCCGTTCCCGTCCAACTCGAGTAGGCCCCAATCATCCACATAGATCACTTGAATTAGTGATTTACAAATCCTCCAAAAATATTCACATTTTCTTACAAAGAATCGTGCCAGTAAAAATGAGTTGTGAATGTAGTTGGTTTTCCTTTGTTTGCGTACCTGAACTACAGAAATAGACTGTGAAGTGCAATTTCGGAGGCTAGTTAGAAATTCAGCTTTCTGATAGGATGATTGTTAAGATAAATATTCAGAATTAGGAAACGTGACTAATTCAAGCACTTAGAACAGGACATATTAGTTATAAGGTCGTGAAAGAGCCTGATTTTAGTCCGTTTAAACTTCTGATACTTTGCTCAGGTGTCCTAATGAATTACATTCTCAAGGTCGTTCAGACTCCAGTCGGTCTGTAACGAGTCCTTTTCTTATGGAAATATGACAGATGATTCAGGAAAGAATTATAAAGCAGGTAACAAA